TATCATGGGTTTGAGGGTGAAATGCAAGGATTGGAAAACTGGGACTGGTGATAACATTCTGTCCCATCCTACAGCAAACCCTGTGTGGCAGCACAGCTGGAGAGCCTTGCTCAGGACTGTCCTCCCCAGCCCAGGAAAGCTCTGCAGCTCTGACATCTGCACTGGGTGAAGGGGGTCAGCTGCGCTGTGCATTCCTGACAATCCAGCTGCTTTGCAGTAGGAATTGAGCAGAGCCAGGTTAGGTCTGTTTGCAGTGACTTCGTGGGGCTCTCCACATGTGACCAGAAGTCTGGGCAAAGTCTTGTGCAGTTCACAAGGACCAGCTGGGCACGTGAGGAGGTGTGAGCCCCACAGACTGTGTGAATACAGACGGGCTGGGGGGACAGTGGGGCTGGAGCTGCTGTACCTGGGAACATGAATCCATCACTGGATACACATCCAGAGCTGTGGATTTGATTTCAAAGCCCATGAGTTCATAGCTGTATAAAGGGCAGCACAAAAACTGACCCTCTTAACCCTTATGAGCAGTAAGTTCAACCTTGCAGTGAGTTACCACAGTGAACTCATCACCTGGGCTTTTCCAGTGTACTCTTTTACATCAGACACCAATTAATTTCTAATTGATCTTTCCAAGAGCAACTGCTCAGTGTAACCATAAAGTTCAATGTCCTGCCTTCAATATTTCCAACCCTTCAAGCAGAAAATAGCAGGACTTAATGGGGCTGAAGGCTGATTTTGTTTATCACCAAACTCCTTAAACAAGGACAATAGCACAGCACTCAGGGTGCTGAATAATCCCATGCATTTTACATTCCTGCCACAGCTGTAATACAATAACTTGCTAAAGATGCTTCAATATTTTTAGCAGGCTTGCCTGCATAGTTAGCAGGGAGCTGGAACAAGGTACATCCATGGAGAGCTCTTGGCCCAAAGGACTGAATCAGGGCAGGAAAACAATCAGGAACTGAGGACACCATGTCCAACCATCTATTCCTGGAGAGGAGGGGCTATTTTGGACTATCCTTAGTCTGGTCCCAAGCACTGAACCTCCATTAGCACCTGGAACAAACCACAGGTATTTCCAGAGACAATATTGCAGTTCAGTTTCATCTAAAAGGCACATAGAAAAAATGGAGAAGATGGTGACATTTGCTCTGAAAGCTAAATTCCAGTCCTAAATAAAACATTCCCATAAATGCAGTGCTGTGTTGTGTTTGACTGGAACATGTCATTGTATTTTGAATGACAGAGACTGTGCACGAAGAGCTAGAAATCAAACTGCTTTTCATCAGAGCAAAGCAAGCAAGGCAGAGAGGGGCACAGTGCCCCCTGTTCACCCACCTAAGGCCGTGGGAATCAACATTGACTATGAATATTCCTTTTCATTAACAGGCTCAAAACCCCACGGGTTCCACAAAACACAAACATGTGATTAGCCATCTGATTTAGACACATGGCTCAACACACACATTTTGCACCTTGGATACATTTTTACCTTGGAGGCTATGGAAAAGGTAATATCCTACAAGAACATAGTATGTCTTTCAGGCAATTCTTTGAATGGCTAAATTATAGCTAAGAGGTTGGTTCAGAGAGTGGGTGCTCGGTATTTCAGAACAAAGTAACTTGAATGACACCTAGTGGGAAGATAAGCAGTGGCTGGGGATGACACAGGGACTGAGCAGTTCTGAACAGGAAAAACAGCAAGGAGGGAGATTCTGCATCAGAACAGGTGAGGGGAGAGAGTGACTCGATAAAATGGGCGGAGTACAATTTAGAAGAAGAATTTCCTGAATGACAACAGTTCATCTGCCTTCTGAGGAAATGGGATATTTGATTTGACAGAGGCAAAATTACATCAGGTAAAACCACAACAAATGTGCAGCAGGAAACAATACAATAAGCAGAATATGGACAGGAGGAAATTCAGTCCTCCTCTGTATAAATACTCAAAATGCTTTAACAGGTCAGTTCTCTAGAGTGAAGTGGGTAAGAGGAATATTTCGGCCCTGGGGTAACAATAACTCCTGATTTGAGAGAAACCAGTTTTTCTTTAATTCATTTCTGCAAGCAATATTCCTCGATGTATGAATGAATTTCATGACTGATCTTTTTTTTTCCTTCTTCTTGTTTTTTTGTATAAATCATTAATTACTAGTGACTCACATCCAATTATAACGATATATTTCAGTTACTCTGTTCTCACCAACCTATTTGAAAGTACAAAAGAACATATTTAATCAAGGTGACAGACCTTAAATGAGAAGCACTTTTGCTGTGCAACGACAATGTGGTGTGGCCAGTTTTTTCAGCATTGGAAATGGAAATAGTGCTTGAGAAAACTTCAGTGTTTCTAGATCAAGAACAGGTCATTGACAGCAATGAATGACTGTAACTCCTTATAAGTGACTATAAAAGATAATCACATCCTCTGCCTGAGTTTCCTCTTAGCAGGTCACATGTTTGAACAGCACATTTATCTATAAATTGCAGCTTTTGTCCTTAACCACAAGGAAACCAGTAATGTCCTCTCAACTCTTTCTCTCCCTGTAGAAGCAGATGCAGCACCCACGTAACTCAGTGGAAAAGCCAAGACCCCAAAGGAAAGCTAATCCAGGGAAATGTGCTTTCAGGGGTGAGGTGGTGAGAGAGGATTGTTTGGTAAACAACAGTGTTCAAAAATACCTCTCTGCTGAGAGGAGGGACAGCCTCTCTCCTTCACAAAAACTTCAAAGGCATCCGCGCTGTGGAAAAAATACTTTCGGACTATAACAAGATTATAGCAGATTATAACTATTTTTTTCAAATTGGCTCTTAATAAATCCTCTTAGATGAAGAATCCTCATTTGGTCTACAAAAAAAGATATAGCCCTAAAATCATAAATGCAAATGCCTTGTTCTTCTGCCAGACACTCCCTGCAGCCTCTCACCCCCCAGAGCTGAAGGAGGGACAAGATCTGGGGGCTCAGCATGAGCTGCCACCTCTGCCCCCGCCTGGGGGGGCATTGTCCTCTCACAGTCACCAAGTGAGAGGACAATGGTTATTCTGTGGGCAGCATTCCTTAGGACACATGGCATAGATTGTGTGATACAGGAAACAGGGACAGGGCAGACAGACATTTAGGAAATCTTGCCTAGGGATGTCCTTTCCAAAACCGATGAAACAATCCCTACGACAAAGGGATCTTTCAATTATTACCAGTCCACTCACAGGTCCGGCAGCTGAACATCTGACAGGCAGATGGAACAGTCTTTTCAACAAGAAAACATTCTCCTCATCTCACAGAAGAGAACGAAATTCAAACGGGGTTTGGGATTTTTGTCTTTTCCCTCGGACTCTGTCTGAATTGCCTTTTAAAAGCTAAAGAGCAGAGAAATGTTAAGGCATTTTCTTAAGGAGGTTCCTGACAAACTTCAGGCTCCTGGGAATTGATTAGACTATATGGAAGAAAAGCACCTTCCATATAAGTAAGAATTAAACAGTAAGAATTGCTACCAGAATAATTTATATGTCAGAAATTTCCCTTCCTCCCAGGAACACGTTATAAAGGAACAACAGCTTGGAAACATGGCTCTGCTGCACATCTGCAACATCAGAACCTCACCTGTATTTCATTCCCCAGTGCAGAGCACAGCTCAGAACCTGTCCCCAAAACAACACTCTACATACATAGAGCTGGCCTGAATTAAACATCAGCTCCACAACCAACCGGGTTTCCAAATGTCAGCTGCTATCTGAATTCTAGTGTGTTCATGACAGGTAGTTAAGCAAAGGAAAAGTTAGTTCAGTTCTACCCCAGAATTTTGCATACTGGAAGAAAAGTTAAAAGAAAATCCTATTTTTGTTTTTCTTTTACATAGCCAGTTGAAGAGGTACCTGTATATTATAAACCTGCATCCTCCTGAATTCCTGCCTTTCCAGCCAAATGCACACAGAGGGTGTCACATGGCTATTATTCAGCAGTTGATATCCTCCAGCAACCTGACTGTGAAGAATCTGCAGGATCATAGTCCTGCTCTGAGCTGACCCCAGCTCCTGGGATTGGGAAAACAGGCCATATATGTGCCAAGGCTGTCCCTGTGCTCTGGGCTCTGCTGGCTGAGGGAGCCTTGACCAGGAGCCCTTCCCAGTGCACCTTCCCTGACTGTCTTGGAATCCGGGTCTGAACTCCAAACCAAGCTAGAACACTGCAAGGAAATTAAATTCCACAAAATATCACATGGACCAAAATAGGGATTGGTGCTTTGATACACGCCCCCCCCCACACCCCGTCTTTCCTTCTTCACACCTGAAGTGGTGTCTGAGTCCCTCTAGCTCAGGGGGTTTTTTGCTGACACCAAAGGTACAGGTCACTCTCTCCCTCCTCACATAAAATCACCTCTCCGAGTCCCTGATCATCACAGAAACCTTCCTTTCACTTGTTGGCTTAAACTTTTAAGAACATGGGTGACCAGAACTAACTCCTGTATTTTGGGTGACTTCAACACTATTTCAACTCCTTCAATTCCAGTCGATGACATTAATATTTCCCTATCCATCAAAGAGCTCATCTGACCAGTGTGAGTTGAGCTCATCTCACTGTCATAGTTACTCTGATGTGTGTTTTTACAAATTTTGTTTAAGCAGTGGGCAGGCAGATATCAAACCCACCCGACCGACAAAAACTGAAGCTCCACTTCATGGGCAAACTTCAGCTCCCTCATGTCCTGCTGGGGCTTGTGTGTGTCAGCATCTGAAGCCCAGAGTAACTTTTATACCTGTAGATTTTTATAGCTGAGGGAAAAAAACTCACTAGATTTCAGATGAGGTTTTCCAGATATCATCAGAGGTAATAGGAAAAACACATCAGCAGTAAAGGAAGGATTCAAAAGGGTTTCCTCCTGGCTGCAGCAACACACAGACTGCCCCAAGCACTGTGTGCTGTCACACCAGCCAACCACACACACATCTCCCGGGGGAGGGTTTCCCACCAGGCACAGAAAAAGCTCCTCTTCCTTCCCACACTTCCTTAGGGCCTCTTCCCACAGCAGCCCCTGCACTGCTGTGCCTGCTCCAGCACTTCACCAGGCACGGGAGAGGAACCAGGAGGAACCCACCAGGGTAAGGGTCACTCAGGCACTTCCCAACTCTCCCCCTCTGCATTTTTGCCACAGTTCTTGTTCCTATTTGAGTTTGGATTTCTTGCTGTTTCCATATTAAATCAGGAGAGAACATCTTTTCTCTAGATATCATTTAACTTTTTTTGTCAGATGTCATAGTCTGTCCCTTTAAGATGTTTGCTTGAAAAACAATAACTTGAGTTGATTTCTTGAAAAATCACAGATTAGTATCTAGAATCAGAGCAAAGATAGAATAATTACTTGCTGACAGACATAGGTGAAGATCACTATTTCAGCTTGAAATTATGAAGTTCATAATTTTATGCAGCGTTAATCCAACTCAAAATATAGGAATGTAGTATTTAGATGAGGAGTCTAAACCTGCCTAACTTAATTTTGAAAAGCTAATTACATAATCCTTGAAAGTAAATAGAAGCAAATTAATTTAAAACAAAATCAATTCATTTTTCCCTATAATTTCAGTCTTTATTAAATAAAACTTACTGGAGAAAAAAATTGTCTCACCTTATTTTAAGAGGAAAACTTTTTTTTTTAGTTCTAAAATATCTTTACACTTGAAACCATTTTGAACAATTATTTTTCTAAATTTCATTCTACATTAGTGTAATTTTATCTCATTATTGCCTTCGTATGTAAAAAACCACACTGTATTCTTTCACTCTGTATTTGGTTTATTTGGGGGGAAAAAAGGAGGAAATATATTTTAATTCTAGGATGTATTAAAATCATAAAGAAAGATGGCTTCAAGATTGGAAATTCCCCAACTTATTCAAGTGAATTTGTATTTCAAACTCTAGTCCTGTGCCAAGATTTGCAATGTATTTTTAAATGCAGAGAAGTAGTAGGGAATGCAGGAAGGGAATAAATTTAGAGGTTTTAAACTGCCGAACAGAAGGGACCAAGATGGAAGTCTAGTGGGATCCACCCTCCAGAAGTGGGAATGACATAGCAAGAGGCATAATTACCTGCTGGCATGTTTATTTTATCCCTAAAGGACAAGCAGTACCAGATATGCAAATTTCCAATTCTCTATTCCTCCAAATCTTGAACTGTCTGTTATCAGAGGTGCATGAAGCTACAAGGTGGCAAAAAGAACTTTTTGTCACATAAAAATAGGTATTTCCTGGTTAGAATCTTCATACTGTCAGAAAAAAGATGTTTAGACATTTAGAACTATTCAGTCCCTAAAGCCTCATTTTGAAAAGTGATTCCAACCCACAATTTTAACACTAGATCTGTGAAGATACTGAAGTGGAATAAAAACCTTTGCCTGAAACTAACCTAGCTTTCACCATTGTCTTTTGGTGACAATGTGTTCCAGAACTTTGAACAATTATCTATTTTGTACAATTATGACGGAAAAACACAGAACCAGAGACAAAAGAGCAGCACTGTGCTCTGTCCAGTGCATTTGTGAGGATGTCAGGAAGAATGCAGACAGCTAACGATTTTATTCCAAAAAGCTAAGCCTCGGGGGCAGTCCTGGGACAGAAGGAACTGTGCCGTAGTTGTGCCCTTGGGATCATGCTCAGGGACGCCGCTGATCAGATCCCTCTTGTCATTCCCTGGGCAGCTGAAGGATGAGAGGGTTGCGGTTCATCTCTGCGGTGGGATTTGCCACGCTGCTGTTCCCGGTGATCCAAGGGGGAGCGTGTCCCTCCTCCTGCAGCTGCGGGTCCCCGGGAGGGTCCCGGGGGCTGCACGTGGACTGCAGCTCGCGGGGGCTGCGGGCAGTGCCCGGCCTGCCCCGGGACACCCGCAGCCTGGACCTCCGCAACAACAGCCTGAGCCGCGTCCCCGCGGGAGTCCTGGACACCCTGCCCGGCCTGGAGCGCCTGGACATGGCTGGGAACCCCTGGCACTGCGACTGCCACATCCTGTACCTGAAGCTCTGGCTGCAAGACTTGTCTGCACCCTCCCTTGCCAGCGTCAGGTGTGCCAGCCCAGCTCCCATCAGGATGAAGCCCCTGGCAGAGCTGACTGGGAACGAGCTGGGGATGTGCAAGAGGCTTCTCCCAGTCAGGTGTCTGGGGTTCTTCTGGCGAGACCTCATTTTAATTGCTGGAGCAATAATTACACTTCTTTTAGTAGCATGGGCTCTGAAATTCTCCAAAAAGCTCGTCTGCCAACTGAACCTCGACCGGTATGGTGCCAGGGGCCGCCTGCTGAGGAGACACAACCCCAAAAGCCACAAGGTACACTGAGCTGGGCACTGCCACAGCTGGAACAGAAACATCCAACTCCTCTACGAGCAAAGCAAGTGCACTGGCAACACTGGTTTGAATGGTGACTGCTACAAACAGGTCGCAGGGCTCAAAGGCTGGGTCCTGGGACGGACAAGCTTGCCTGAATGAGGGACTCCTGGTGAGGTGTTGACAGGCAAGGTTCATTCTGCTGCCCCTACTCATGTGAAGAGTATTTCTGCTAAATTTTTTTCTAAACTTTTTTTCTAAATTTTTTTAAATCATTCAACTTAGCATTTTCCACTGAATTCTCAGCTCTTATAGCAAGAAGATTTACATCCCCAAATCCTACACTTTTTAATATATGGAGATGAACATCAATTGTACTAGTTTAGCAATTCTTTTCTCATTCACAAGTTCTATGAGTTTGCAACCCCTTACCCTCCCTGTGTCCCACTGGGCTTGGTAGGACCATTCTTGTGTGCAGACAAACTCAGCTACCTTCAGCCACCCAGCCACTCAGCCACCCAGCTTCAGGAGTTTTCTGCCAGCAAAACCATTATGATTATATAGACCAGCCACTGAATGCATCCCTTACTGAATACATTTAAAGTTGGACTGGTAAAGAGAATATAACCAGTAAAAATAATCTTAAATATTATTGAATTTTCTGGAGAGTGAACAATAAAAAAGCATTTTATGTGAAATCGAAATAATGGATGTTTATTGAACATTCATACTCACCCAACTTTCTCTTTCACAATTCCAAACACTTATGATTAAAATTCTAAGAAATTTCCAGAACTTGTCTTGCAGTTTTACTACAGACATTTGATGCTCTGGATTTGATGTGTAACAGCTTTGAGAGGATGTACACTCTTCACTTCTCCTCTTGTGTGCCCATCCTCGTAGAAAAATTGTTGTGGTAACTCAAGCAATTGTTTTCTCCCCAGCCTAAATCCCAAGAGTCCGAGGCCAGCAATTCCTGCTGTGACTCCACCTGCTCTGGTGAAGTCAGGCCAGTGAGATGGGAGAGCTCTGAAGATCTAAAATTAATCTACTGTTGGCAGTTCAGTTGAAGACACAATTTGCAAATGCTCCTCCTGACTCCAAACCTGAGCTCGGTTCTAGAGGCCACCTGGTGAAGGTGCCAAAGGCTGCCTGGCTCTGCACCAAGCTCCCTGTGAGCTGGGTGGGCTCCTTGGTGCAGCTCAGCCTCTCCCCAGCAGGGCTGGGGCTGAACCTGTTCCTCATGGGTGGTGCTACAATCGCCACGCGCTCTCGCTGCTGTGAGAAGCCACAAACACCCAAGTCAAAGACAGTGGAAGCTCACAGGGACATTTCCAGGTCCCTCTTGCCCCCGTCAGAGCATTTCAGCAACATGGAGTCAAACTTACTGCTGACTGCTGGTGACATTCTGAGACAGCTTTAGAGGAGATGTGTTCCTGCCTGTGACACCTTCACTGCTGGCCCCCCTCCTGCACCCGCAGGGAAGGCCAGTCTGATACACCACCCCTCACCAACCCAAATCCATGCCCCTTCAGGATGAGTCCCCTGACACCAGAAACAGCCACTAAACCCCCGGTGGGTCTGCTGGAAGAACCTGTGAAGCACAGAGAGCTTTGGGGCAAGGACACACACCAGGGGTAGAGGGTTACACAGATCAGCCATAAGGTGTAGTTTAGGGCTTTACACTGGGAAAAGGGAAGGAACAGACCCAGGTGCTTTCCCTGAGACATAATTAATGGTCTGGGAGACAACACACCCATTGCAATGGGAAAATCTGCACGTGATACACAGAGGGGAACAAGAAGAGGGAAAGAGTGAGTGCACAGAACTGTGGGTCACCTGGAGTGCTGAGCAATCAAAAGCAAGACTGCACAGCTAGAGAGGAAAGATGAGCTGAGGACTCAATGCAGAGAAGTCACATAATCCAGTAACGATGATCTCCCTGGTATGACATTGCAGCAGTGGGCTAACACCACCTTTTCTTGTTAAAATAGGGAGCATCACTTAGGGATAGAAAGACTTATTTACTTCCATGTTCAGATAAGCTACAGTAATTCAGCATCAGTGTCTACAAATCAGGAACAATCAGCCGCAGAAGAATCAGAAAACCAACAGTAATGCAAATAAAGGATCAGAAAATAGATCTTAAAAGGAGACTAATTTCTTTTAATAAAATTAAATTTAATTAAAATTTCTTTTAATTCCTTTAATAAATTTAAGGAATTACAAGATCACAGCTTGTATGAATCTACACAAAGAGAAATTTCTAAACAAAGGATTAGGAGCAGAAATTAAAACATCAGACTAGGAAAAGGGTTCAAAATCTAAGAGTGAAAATAATTATACACTGAAACAGTGTGTCAACCATCCCTCACTTCTCTAGCTTTATTCCACATTAATAAGCTCTGCAGGACAGAATTTCAAATAAACACAAAGGAACGTAGTGCTGTACACACCAAGATAATTTTAGAAAATTCTCCTGCACTGAGATGTCCAATTTTTTAAAAGACAACCACATTTTTGTATGGGTGCAAAATATTGCACTCTGCAAACTCCCTTGGAGAGTCTCCTAAAGGATATTTCTTGTTTTCCCAAAATAAAATAAATCATTAACACTATACATTTACCACTCTCTTTTGTGCCTATAAACTAGATATGCATAAAATAGTAAACTGCTTTACTGTATGGCTTCAGTGGTACAAATACACAAAAATAAGCAATTAGCAAACGTTTCTGCTTGAACCAACCAACATATCAAACAAGACGCACAGAACACAGGAAAAAAATAATTGAGAGAACGTATTTTCTGTCCTTGTAAGAGGAAAGAAGAGGGAATCTCTTCCATGGCAATAATTCACATTCTTCTAAAAGAGTATTGTATTTATCACTTTTCATCCATTTGGTTCTTACCTAAAAAAACACAAAACCCTGCAAAGGGGCCAGCTAGAACTGCTAACTGAGCCAACTGAAAGCTCAAAGACAACATTCAGTGTTTATCTGGCAAGGCCACTGTGTCATGCCACATACCCCATCAAATGGCATAACTAACCCACAGTTGTAACGATGTACAAAGACAGGAAAACACATCAGCTATCTCAGTAGAACATGCAGGCAGCATTCCCAAAGAGCTCTGGGAAGATCCCAGAAACTGTCACTGCATCATGCCTGCAAGAGGGCAAAGTACTGCCTAGATTTGCTCTCACCTTCTTTGGTGACAGAGGTGTAACTGCTGGGACAGGGCACAACTAAGAAGTTAGGAGGTTTGGGTCCACATTTGGCAAGGCAAGCAATCAGACTCAGGATTACTGAGCAAAACCAGCTCCTTGCAGCACACAGAGCAGGTCTGTATGTAAACTGCAGTTCAATTCATGGGTAAAATAGTTGCAGGTTTCATTTATTATTATTATTATTAAATGGAAGGGCGTGTGAATCACCACCTTTTTCTTGAAATGTTCAATGTTTTCTTAACACTGTAGCAAACAGCACTTCTCAAGCTGAATGATTTCTGCTTAGCTTTGTGCTTGGTTTCTGCCTGGGGTCTGTAGTTAAGTTTTTTCCAGATCTGTTGTTTGAGCTCATGGATCAGGGAAGTTTGAGGGGCTGGCACACATCATGCAGTGCTGTTCTCCGTTGTGCTGAAGGGCCATCATACTATTAATGGAAGGTAATTCACTGATCTCTGCTCTCTGTGACCAGGAACAGCAGCAAGGGAATGGCTGGAGCTGTGCCAGGGCAGGCTCAGGTTGGATCTCAGGCAAAGGTTCTTCCCCCAGAGGCTGGTTGGGCACTGCCCAGGCTCCCCAGGGCAGTGGGCACAGCCCCAAGGCTGCCAGAGCTCCAGGAGGGTTTGGCTGATCCTCTGGGGCACAGGGGGTGACTCTTGGGGATGGGCCTGTGCAGGCTCAAAGCAGCTCATCCCCTAAAAATCACCCTGTCTCAGCTCAGAGCTGGCTGAAAGGCACAAGTGCTCTGTCCCTCTGTGCACGGTGCAGCCAGACTGGCCTGGCACCCGTGATGCCATTCCTGAGTGCAGCCACCTGGAGCCGCCTCCCGAACTCAGCTACAAACACTTTTCTTTGCCAGAAGGAGACAAGTACTGAAGAATTAAAGCACTTTTGCTCATTTACAAGACTGCAGACACCAAGGAAGAAAACTCTGAAAGAAAAGCAGAAAGGAAAGGGCCGCACAATGTCCCTCGGGCAGCAGCAGCAGCCTGCGGGGGTCACTGGTGCTCCTCGGAAACCGCAGCAGCCGCGGGAAGCGCGGGGAGGAGCTGCCCGAGGGACACGGAGCCGGGATGCCAAGGGTGGGGCAGAGCAGGAAAGCAAGGGAGGAAACGCTGGCACCGCCACGGACAGCTCATATGGCTGCTTTGTGTTTATTTTTATTTTTAATGGAAAATACGCACTTTCCCGCTGCGCTCAGGGGACACCCGCCGCTGGCAGGGAGGGCGCAGGATTTTGGGCTCGGCACCACTGAGGTGCACAAAACTACATGGCTTTGAGAAAGCAGCTCGAGCCTTCCTGCCTTGGCAGGAGTGTCTGCTTGCAAAAGACAAGCACGAGTGCATGTCTGTGATGCAAGTTATTTTCTTCAGAAGAGTAAAATTACAATATTTTTTCAGGAAAAAACACATACCACATCCCGTGGAGTCACTGAATTTGCTTGATCTCCCCTCCATGTTCTAAAAATGTTGATATTTTCAGAATATACGTTTCTCATGTGTTTCAAATTCCACATCCTTCAGACAAATGAGTGAGATCTAAGTGTACTCAACACCTTTCTTTTCCCCACAAAGCACGGACGAAACAATCTGAAAACAGCTTTTTCTTTCACCTTAGACTAACTCCCATGCTTTGAGTACCAGCCCAGTCCTCCCCAGGAGCTCTGGGAACCTCCATGACACGGGTACATGGCATTTTACAGTACCGAGGGTCTTCTCTAAAATGTAAGTCTCTGACAGAAGTAGTTTTGAATTTGCACTAACAACTGGCCTCGCAGTGATATCTAACCTGGATTTGACTGTAAACCTTTGCCTATCCCAAGGCTTGTTCAACCTATGGAAAATTAGTTCACATTAAATTCATACTAAAGACTAAGTACAGCTTTGCTCTAAGGAATGAAACACATCACAGTTAACAAGCTTGCTCTGCATTTACCTTTTTCCATCTTAGTTACACAGATACTGTTTGCACTGACCACATATGGAATTGCATTAATGCTACTAGAATAACTCCAAAAAGAGAATAACTCATCCAACAGGAAGCTTCAAACAGCAAAAGACCAAGAATATTCCCAGCCTAAGAGGATCAGAAACAGAGAGGAACTCTCTCAGCTGAACAGGAAATTTCTTTTATTATTGAACTAGCAAACATATATGGTAAGATCTAAATATTAATTGAATATACAAAATACATGCAGAATGCAGTGAAACAAGCTCATTAGTTGGTCTAAGCTGCTCCCACTCTTGTACTCTAAACTAATTAGCCAATATACATTCATTCTCATACTGGCTTTATGTGTAAATGCACTGTTTTAGGAATTATTAACATAGAATTTTAGGCTTCGCAAAAGTGGGACTCTTCAGGCTGACACACTTGTCGGTTATGATTTACAGCTGAA